CAATGTGTGCAGCGAGGAGGATGCTAAGAGGCTGCAGTGTGACTTGGGCAGACTGGCTGAGTCGGCAAATACTTAGTAAATGCAAGGTTATCCACTTTGGTCACCAAAGGCATATAATTATCTGAATAGTGACAGTTTAGGAAAAGGTGATGTGCAATGAGACCTGGGTGTCATGGTGGAACAGTCACTGAAGTTTTTCATGTAGGTGCAGCAGGCAGTGAGCAAAACTAATGGCATGCTGGCCTTCATAGCAAGAGGATTCGAGTATCGGAGTAAGGATATCTTGCTGCAGTTATACAGAGCCTTGGTGAGGCCACACCTTGAATACTGCATGCAGTTTTGGTCTCCTAGTCTGAGGAAGGGCGTTTTTGCTGTTGAGGGAGTCCAGCGAATGTGCACCAGATTGATTCCTGGGATGGCAGGACTGACATATGAAGAAAAACTGGATCAACTGGACTGGATGGACTGGAATTTAAAAGAATGAGGGGGGTTCTCATAGAAACATATAAAATCCTGATGGGACTGGACAGGCTAGATGCGGGAAGAATGTTCCCGATGTTGGCGAAGTCCAGAAATAGGGGTCACAATTTAAGAATAAGGGGTAAGCCGTTCAGGACGATGAGGAAGAATTTCTTCATTTGGAGTTGTGAACCAGTGGAATTCTCTACCACAGAAGGCTGTTGGGGCCAGTTCATTAGATATATTCAAAACAGAGCTGGACATGGCCCTTGCAGCTAAAGGGATCAAGAGGTATGGAGAAAAAGGGGGATACTGAAATTGCTTGATTAGCCATGATCATATTGAATGGTGGTGCAGGCTCAAAGAGCTGAATAGGCTACTCCGGCACCTATTTTCTATGTTTCTACGACAGTGTGGCACCCCTCAGTTCTGATCCTCTAACAATGTGGCACTCCCTTAGTACTGACCCTCTGACGGTGCGGCACGCATTCATCACTGACCCTCTGACAGTGTGGCCCTCCATCATCTGAAACCAGTGACATCAAATAGATGTGAAGATTTACTATTATACACGGATGTTTCAAAGTGCTTTACAGATAAAGACTGTCACAATGTAGCAACTGCAACAGCCTTTTGCATGCACAGCAAAATTTTACAATCACCATTGAAATACACATAGATAACTTGTTTTAGTAAGTTTGGTTGTATAATTTTTCCCTATTATTCCTCACATTAGTGCTTTCGGATTTTTCAGAATCTGAATAGACATACAGAACTTCTTAATATCTGATCTCAAATACAGCTTCCCCAACAGTACAGCACTCCCTCGGCACTCTCTGGAGTAGGATTGATACCTTTACATCCTGACACAAAGGTATGAATGTCATCGCTGAGCTGAGACCAACACTGGGCTGCATCCACTTTCCAAACTGTCTCAGGTATTCACAAGGCAGGTTAAGCAGAGGGATGGAGAATGAGAGCAGCTTCTGATTGACTGCAAGTCAGATCCTGAAACGTCAGTGAGTACAGTTCCAGTCCCATATAAATATAAGCTAATTACTTCACGCACTTTCATCAGAACACAGTAATGCCTCCAAAGATTACTCACGAAGAACAGTTTCAATTGAAGTGTAGCCAGCTACATTACCTGTTTAAATCAGTGGAAACTGACCGAGTGTAATTAAATAAACCAGGAGCCATGTCTGAACTCTGTGCAGTTACCAACAAGAATAGTGCTTCCCACTGGTCATCACAGGCTGTCATTATTTTTAAAAGCCAGGAGACAGGTTACATTCACTGCAGGAGAACTGGTGAAAGAAGAACCTACGTTTGAAGCAACACTCACTATAACTGAACAAAAATATATTCCACTTTTCCATTCCCCATTGATCTCCCAGCAAGACACATTGGGACTTTATTAAATACTCCCAAATCACGCAGGACTTCAACCACAGCTCACAGTCACCATGGCCCCACGACACCACACCAAACTTACCGGCTCACCAACATGACAATGGCTCACTGCAACCATAGCTCCACCGCAGCCACAAGAAGCTATGAAGGTTGCATGAGGAAAAGTAGCTGGGGTCGCATCCCCAGAATCAACACACAGGCCACAGTGATTAATCACAATTCCATTCTCATTGACAGCGATTGATCACAGTTCCATTCTCAGTGCTCGCTGGGATCAATCAACAATTCTATAGAGACGATATCTTGGAAGGGCCCTCAGAAGAAGCTTTGTGGGTAGAATTTAAGAATGTTAAGGGGGCGCTACTTTACTGGGAGTGTGTTATAGGCCCCAGAGAGTCAGCTAGAATACAGGAGCAAATATGTAGACAGTTCAGAGGTAAGAGTAATAATCTGGTAGTTATATTGTAGGGGTTTCAACTTTCTCACCATAAATTGGGATAGTCATCGTGTTAAGAGTTTAGAAGGAGCAGATTTCTTGAAATGTATCCAGGGGAGTTTTTTGCATCAATACATAGAGGACCCAACAAGGTACAGCACAGTGCAGGTTCAGGTTCTGGGGAAAGAAGCCAGACAGGTGCTTAAGTGATAGCAACCACAAGACGGCACAGTTCAAATTTGTTCCGGACAAAGAAAAAGGTGGCTTGCAAAAGACGGCTTTGGGTCGGAGGTGGAAGCATATTTATTAAAATAAAGCAGGAACTGGCCACAGTAGAGTGGGAACAGCTCCTTGCAGGTAAGTTTACAGTGAGGCAACGGGGCGGGGGTGGGGGGGTGGAATGCATTCAAAAAGTAAGCGGGAAAATACAGATCCAATATGTACCCTTTCGAGGGAAATGTAGAAGCAATAAGTTCAGAGAATCCTGGATGTCTAGGTCAATTCAAGACTGGATAAGGAAGAAAAGTAGGGCTGTTAGAAAGTCCAAAGGAAGCAATTCAGCTGCGGCTCTAGATGAGTATAGGAAGTGCAGGAAGGAACTTAAGAAAGCGATTAGAAGGGCAAAAAGGGAGCATGAAAAAGGACTGGTGAACAGGATTATGGTGAATCCTAAGATATTTTACAAAGATATTAAGGGAAGAGATTAACCAGGGAAAGAGCAGGGCCCATTAGGGACCAAGGTGGGGAACCTTTGTGTGAAGCTGGAGGATATTGGAAAGGTGCTCAATGAATACTTCTCTTCAGTCTTCACTCTGGAAAAGAAGAATGTAGGTACAGAATTCAGAAAAGGGGACTGTGAGGAAATGTGCAGTTTGACATAGGAAACAGGGAGATATTGGAGGCTCTGTCAGGCTTAAAAATAGACAAATCCCCTGGCCCAGATGAATTGCATCTCTGACTGTGTGGGAGGCAAGGCAGGAAATTGCAGGGGCTCTGACACAAATTTTTAATTCCTCTCTGGTCGTAGGAGAAGTGCCAGAGGACAAGAGGATGGCTAATGTGGTTCTACTTTTCAAGAAAGTTGGTAAGGATGAACTAGGAAATTACAGACTGGTGTCAGGGAAACTACTGGAAAAAATTCTGAAGGACCGAATTAATATCCACTTGGAAAGGCATGGGTTAACTAGGGATAGTCAACATGGCTTTATCAGAGGGAGGTCATGCCTAACAAATTTATTAGAATTTTTTGAAAACGTGCTCAAGTGTGTGGACGACAGAAGTTCAATTGATGTAGTTTGTATGATTTTAGTAAAGTTTTTGACAAGGTCCCACTGTGGGAGACATGAAATTGAGGGAAACTTGGTGAGATGGATCAGAAATCAGCTTAGTAACAGAACACAAAGGGCAGTGGTAGAAGGCTGTTCCAGTGACTAGAAGCAGGAATCCAGCTGTATACCACAAGAATCAGTACTGGGACCCTTACTGTTTGTTATATGTAGAAATTACATAGATGAAGATGTGGGGGGAATGTTAAGCAAATTTTCAGATGACACCAAGATTGGTAGAGTAGTTAATAGCAAAGAAGATAGTTGTTGGTTATAGGATGATATAGATGAGTTGGTCAGACGGACAGACCAATGTCAGATAGTATTTAACCCTGGTAAGTGTGAAGTGATGCACTTTGGAAGAAGAAATAAAATGAGAAAGCATTTAATGAATGACAGAACACTGGATAGCTTAGAGGAACACAGGGATCTTGGTAATTATTCACAGATCCCTGAAGTCAGCAGAGCACATGAATAGGATAGTTAAGGCAGTAGATGGGACACTTGTTTTCATGTTTTCATCAGTCATGGTATACAGTATGACAACAGGGAGATAATGTTGGAATTGTACAGAACATTGGTCAGGCTACAACTGGAGGACTGTGTGCAGTTCCAGTCACCTCACTATAAAGGAGGATGTGATAGCACAAGATGGGATACAGAGGATTTTTACAAGGATGTTGCCTGGGAAGGAGAAACTGACCTATGAGACCAGGTGGGCTTGTTTTGCTTAGAGTAGCGAAGACTGAGGGGGCCATGACTGAGGTATATAAAACCATGAGGGATATGGTCAGGGTGAATAGAGTGCGGCTGTTCCCCTTGCGAGAGGTGTCAATCACAAGTTTTAGGCTACAAGACAGGAGACTCAGAGGGGTTTTGGGAAATAATGTTTTCACTCAGCTGATGATGGGACACTGGACTGCACTGCCTAGGGAGGTAGTAGAGGCTGGAAACCTTATCTTTAAAAAAATATTTGGATGAGTATTTCAAAATCATAATGTTCAAGCATATGGACCAAGTGCAGGAAATTTAGATTAGCGCACTTTTGGTGTTAGTTATGTCAGTGCAGACTCTTTGCACAATAAGAATCTATTGATGTGAATTCTCATTGATGAAGATTGATCACAGTGAGTAATCAACAATTCCATTCTCATTGATAGAGATTGATCATAGTGAGTAATTTATTCTCACTGCATTTAGCATTTAACAGTCCGTTAGAAGTGGTTGAATGTTTTCTTTTCCTTAAGCAATTCCACTTGATCTCTGCTTGTCTAAGAAGAGTTGTACTTTTCCTTGCGTACGTGAACAATTGAAGTGTATTCCTTCATCTCACCGCCAAACAACCAAAAAAATGAGAGATTACTCACCGATAAGAATAACAATGACGATCTCGGAATGTCACCCCAATCCCACACGTCCGGCTGCACTCTCCCCACTCTCCCCAGGGTCCCCAGTAATCAGTCTGACGTCTCTTCCTTAAAGCCTAGGTTCAATCAACAGGAAACAATGCTTTTAAAATAAAATGTGATGCACCAACTGTTGGCACTTATCTAATGCCTCCAATGTGGTAACATGGTCCAAGGCTCTTAGAAAGAGGGTCATCAAATAAAATTTGGTGCTCAGTGTCATTGAGATTTTGTGAGAAGTCACCAAGGTCTTGCTGAAGAAAGTTCAAATATTAAACAGTGTCTTGAAGACACAGTGTGGGTAGAGAGGGCATTCTAGACTTTAGGGCCCAGACAGCTGAAGGCACCACCTCTGATGGGGGATCACTCAAAATGGAGGAGGTACAAGAGCCCACATGTGTAAAACAGCAGATCTCTTGGAAGCCTGTTATGGGATCTGGAGGAGTGAGGCCATGGAGGGATTTCAACACATTGCTGGGATTTCTAAGTTGAAGTCATTCCTGGACTAGGAGCCAATGTAGGTGCATCACTACATACCAGGTGGGTACAAGGGGCTTGGTGCCAGTTAGGAAGTGGGCAACAGAGTTTGGACAGGCTTGTGTTATTGATGGGTATAAGGTGGGAGGCCGTAGGTCTGGCTAGCTCAGTTAGTTAAGAGCACACTACTGAGTAACACCCTTTGGTGTGTTCAGCCTCTACACTGGACACAATAGCCCTTGGCCTTTCCTCCTCTATTCTCCCCAAGGAATCATGAAAAGTTTGCTAGAGATCGGGACAGCGGTACTGTGAGCCATGTGGTGCAGAGAAGGTGGTTGGCTAGCCAGAAAAGCAGCAGAGTGACTTTATAGACTTGTACCTCTGAGGAAAAAAGAATCAAACAAACTATAAAACAGCAAAGGCATCTAAACTGTCAAACCATGGCTGACTATATTATATTAGCCTGATGTGAGTTCACAATGAATACCTTTATGTTGTAGTCAAATAATCATTCAGCAATCTGGCTGTCACTGGCAAGGCTGGTATCTGTCACCGGCAAGGCTGGTATCTGTCACCCACCCTCCAACTGGCAAGCAGGAGGTGGCAGAGTCTCACAACGTATGTGGGAAGTCTCTCTGAGCCAAACCTTGGGCGTATTGAAGCCATTCAGGCCTGACTCCAAACTCCATTTCCTCGCCAACAACTCCAACTCTCTCTCCCTGGCCACAAGTGAAGGCTGAACCAGACTCTCAACTCTTTTTAATGTTAGTGTCCGATTTAATCCCAAGATTAGTTTCAGAGTCCATCAATGCAATAGCTTGCTTCCAATTCCATAACATTATTCTCCTGTCTGCCACTCTCTGACACCTGAAGATCTCATCCAAACCTTTCTTCTCTCTAGACTTAATGTTCCCAATGCTGCTTCCTGCCTTGCCTCAGTTTTGAGATTCTCATCTTGGTTTCCGAACCCTCACAATGTCCCATATTGCTGCAATCTCCCACAGCCTGGCAATCCTCAGGATCTCCAATCATGCCTACTCATGCCTTCATCTGCCTCACCCTCTCCAGGTTGCTTTCCTCTTCAAGCACTCCCTAAAGACACCCACATAAACCAAGAGTGGCTGCCTGCCCCAACTTCTCCTGTGGTTCTGCGGATGAATTGCTAAATTAAGGTGCTACGTAAAGATAACGTTGTTGTGGGGATGCCGAAGGTGCTATCTCAATGTGGTCAGGTCACAAGTTTGAAGACGCTGATGCAGCAAGGATGAAAGAATGGCGACGAACTTGTTAAGCATGCATTAAGTGCTCAATGCTGATGAAGGACAGTGTAGTTACTCAAGTATTGGGGGAATTTTAATATTCAACCAAAAATAAATAAAGTGATAAAGAGGGAGAAAGAGGGAGAAACTAGAATAAAAGGAGTAAGCTAGCAAGAACTATGGAACAGATTATATAAAAGTTTTGCACAAGTAGGAGAAAAAATGGAGATGTTTTAATAAATGCAAAATACTGCAAATGCTGGAGAAACTTAGATCTCAGACAGAAACAATTAATATTTCTAGGTTTCAATCTTTAATGTTTCAACACAGGTTTACCAGGATGATACATGGACTTCAGGGGTTAAGTTATGAGGAGAGATTAGAAAAATTGAAAGGTTAAGGGCTGATCTAATCAAGGTCTTCAGGATATTATCAGGGAAAAAGAAAGAGGGTAGATAAACTATTTCTACTGGTTGAAAATTGTAGAACCAGATTTACCCGGCTCAGCGCATTTCTCTGCCGTCTGGAGGAATGCCCCACAATGTGGGAAGGTCAATGAGCTTCTCCACTCTGCCAGGGTCTGTGCCACTGTCTTCTCCCTGATGCTGCACCCACCTCCCAACAAGACTCATGTTCCACCCTTTCACTACTGCCAGCAATATCTTCCCCACTTATTTTCCCTGATCCTGGCAGCACTAAGCCTGCCCGCCCTCTGTGCTGCCCACTCACTCGGGACACCTCCCCATCTGCACCAACTGGGATAGCTGCGTTCCCCACTTCTGTCTCCCTTAATACCTGCCAATCTTTCACTCCAGGAGAGGGGGAGGGAGAGCGAAAGAGTGAGAGAGAGCGAAAGAGTGAGAGAGAGAGAGAGCGAAAGAGTGAGAGAGAGAGATAGCGAGAGCGACAGCGAGAACCTAATAGTGCGGGAAGGGTCTAGGCAGATGGCGTGCTGCCCAACATTCTGCTCCTCAGCCCTTTAGCCCCTGCACTGGTACTGCAGACTGCCCTTGACTTACTGTGCCAGATCCCCTGACTGAAGGTTAACCGTCCCTGACTGGGCCGGGGCTTGCTGACAAATTTTCTTCCTTTGTGACTGCACTAAACAGCAAGGTAAGACAGAAGTAGCATAAGCCTGATATAGTTGGCCTCGGGGTCAAAGTGCAGCAAGGCAATGCAAGGCAGTGAGCATCCAGACAGGCTCAGAGTGAAGTGGTGTGGCAGTGAGTAAAGAGCCTGGAGATACTGCCTGGTCCAGTCCATGAGCTGGGCCATGTCCCTAACCAACAGTGTCCTTGCTGAAGTGTCCTGTAAGTGGATTGGAGATGTGCCATGAGGGTTCTTAGAGGGTGGCACATGCCAAATGTCAATGAACATTGATATGAGATCCATTTGGCTGGTGCCCATGGAGAGTATCTGGAGATGTTGGTTCCCAGTGTTCAACATGGATTTCCTTCAGAGCAAGCAGTGAGCTGAATTTACCACATATCTTCTGTGAATATTCAACCGTGTGCTTGTTCAGTTGTGTTTGGTAAGATTGGAAGCTGAATATTAATGAGGGGAGTCATTAATAAGGTGTTTAACGAGCAACAATCCCCTCCAAGATTCCACCCAAAATTTCTGTCTTCACGATTAAAAAAAAACAAAAAACATGAATTAGATGAATTAGTTAGGAACCAAAGACCAGAGAATGAGGAAATTCAAAGAATTTAATATTAGTGAAGAAATAATACTGGAGAAAGTAATTGGACTAATTGGAGTACAGATAGCACATTGTGAAAAGGATTGAAGGTCTCACATGCTGTGTTACCTGCCTGGTGACAACTGAAGGGACATCTTGAACTGGCTTAAAAAGATACTGGAGAGGGCAGGGGAGGATTCAGTTGTTGTGGTCAATTTTGGCACCAATAACACAGGCAAGAGTAGGCAAGAGGTCCTGTTTAGGGCTTATCAGGAATTAGGAACAATATTAAAATACAGGAACCTCGAAGGTTGAAATCTCTGGGCTATTAGCTGAGTCGTGTGCAAATTGGCAAAGAGATAACATTAGGGAATTAAGCATGTGACTGAGGGATAGTGTGGGAAAGAGTGGCTCCATTTCATGGGGCAATGGCATCATTATTAGGACAGGAAGGAACTGTACTGTTGGGACAGGCTCCACCTGAACCGATCTGGCACCAGGATCTGAGCAGAAAGGCTAAATAGGGTGGTCACAAGGATTTTAAACCAAGTAAAGGTAGGGAGGGCTCACGAAAGTTTGTTAAAGTTTCCAGAACATGTAATAGAACAGACAGTATGGAAAAGGTCAGGAATCTAACTTCAGGCACAGCAGACAAGGGGACAACTATGCGAAGCAGGGTAGTCAACACAGGACTGAGGTGTTGTCCATAAATGCATGGAATACAAGAAACAATGTAAATGAGTTTGAAAAGCAGATTGAAATTGGCAGGTATAATGTTGTGGATATACAGAGGTGGCTGTAATGGCATCAGGGCTGGGAACTAAATATCCAAGGATGCATGTCCTGTCAAAATGACATGCAGATGGGCAGAGGGAGTGGGTTTGCCTCGTTAGTAAATCAATAGCAAGCAGTGATATAGTGTCAGAATGTGTAAAATCTGTGTAGGTAGATTTGAGGATTTGTAAAGGAAAATAGATCCTGATGGGAGTCGAGTGCAGGCCTACTAGCAGTAGTCAAGATATGTGGAAGAAAATAAATCAGGAGATAGACAATACATGTAAGAAAGGCACTATTGCAATAATTATGTGGGACTTCAATATGCATGTTGACTGGGAAAATCAGGTCAGTAGCAAATCCCAAGAAAATGAATTTGTGGAAAGTCTATGAGATGATGTTTTTGGAGCAGTTTATGGTAGATCCCACTAGGGAGCAGGTAATTCTGGATTTGATGATGTGTGATGAAGCAGACTTGATTAGGGAGCTTCAGGTGAAGGAACTCCGAGGGGGCAGTGACCATAATATGATGGAAATCACCCTGCAGTTTGAGAAGGAGAAGCTGGGATCAGTTGTAACATTATTACAATGGAGTAAAGGTAACTACAAAGAGGAGCTGGCCAAAGTTGATTGGAAAGAGATCCTAGCGGAGGAGATGGTAGAACAACAATGGAAGAAGTTTCAAGAAGTAATTTGGGAGGCAAGAAGAAATTCATCCCAAGAAAGAACAAACATACTGAAAGGAGGATGAGGTGACCATGGCTGATAAGGGACATCAGGGACAGCATAAAAGCTAAAGAAATAGCATTCAATGTGGTGAACATTACTGAGAAGCCAGAAGACTGGGAAGCCTTTAAAAACCAGAGAGGATAACTAAATAAGAAAT